CATCATTACACTTAAAATAAATGATTGGATTATCTGTACAGCCAGTACAGTCAACTCTTCAATCCTCATATTAATTTGGGTTTTAAAAATATAGTATAGTTACAATTCTCTCTGGCTAGAGTCCAGTGAATTATTTCTAATGACTTAACTTTCTTCCCTCAGCGAAACTAGGAAGATAGTAATTCTCCCTCCCCCTTGCAGTCCCTTGCACACCATTAAAATCTGTTCTGGAAGAATAGGAACCTGCCAAATGAGTTCCTTAAGCCAGATACAGAGAAGTCTACAAGTAATGCAAAAGGAACGTTGGTCTTACCGTGAAGGTTCTTTCTCCTTGCTCTGCGGGATATTGACGTCCTGATGCGAACGCGAATCATCGGGGGGGATCCGGGATTGCATCTGACGCAGCCAGATGAGTGAAGTGCTGGCAAAAAAAGAGGCCACAGTAGGAGACTTGATGGCCCATGCCGCGGCTTGGTGGGTTTTGCGGGTCGAAATCTCCACCCCTCTGTCCTCGATCTTAAGACCCTCAGCGGCATCTGAAGGAAGGATGCTAGGTGAGGTGAGTTGCACCAGCGGAGCATCGATTGAGAGTAATTTCAGGAGGTCCTCGAGCATCTGATCTACTGAGTATAATTTTTTGTTGGGGCTGCTGGGAGCCAGTATGGGCCCTGGCTGCGACCACTGTCGTTAGACCATGTCCATGAAAAGTTTGGGTGAAGGAATGGTGTCTTGCTCCTGGGTAGCCTCAGTGAAAAGGAGGCTGGTGGAGTCCTGCGGTATTGAGGGGTCTCCAGTGTGCACCGGAGTAATCCCCATATTGGCCGTGACTCGAGCCTTGTGTAACAGGGTTTTGAACATCTCATGTCTGAAGAGCTCTGTACTATGTTGTTTGTCAGAGGAAGTATCCTCCTCCTCACCAGAAAGATTGAAATCAAAGGCATCATCCTTCTTCCTGATGAGACGGGAAAGGCAAATCTGCAGCGCAAGAAGAGTCACTGTCCAAATGACTGGACGGCTGGGCAGACCTGCATGCCGGCACTGGAGCTGATAAGGGTGCCAAAATTCCCCATTGTGTGAGAGCTGTGTCAATACTCCTGGTCACAGCCTGCGTGATAAAACCACACATTTCCTGTGGCATGTTTGCAGGAGGATTCTCCACTGGGCGGAGCCCCGCCGCAGTGGGAGTGAAGGAAGCTGACGGCTTATACACACAGGTGGACATAGGTGGATCGGAGATGGAACCAGATCCTTGAGCGAACACCTCTCATATGACCGCCTGACTGACCTGAGCAGTAGCAGGGGAAGACGGAGACCAGTTGGTATGATCCTGACACCTCTGGGGAGAAAGACCCTGATCTTGAGGCGAAGTGGTGCAGATCCCCCGTTTCTGACACACTCACGGCAGAGGTGATAGCCGCCTTCTTTTGAGCCTTGTCAAACTGTTTGTTTAATGTGCGGTGTCTACGGTCAGCATCCTTTTCTGCTGCAACAGAAGATGATGCAGCTGTGAATGATTTACTAGCAGTAGAATGGGAGGTTGATTTAGATCTGCTCTTCCTGCTGGTAGAAGGGGGAGATTTAGAGTGATGAGAGGAGGAGCGGCTACGATCCGCCATTATGCTGATTCAGGGTAGCTAGTTAATCTAGTAGTCACGGATCATATATCGGAATGCCAGCTAGAAGTGTAGGAGGTGACAGAACAGCTCCTGATAATAAGAAGGGGTATGCAGGTAATGGTGGACGGAGGCTGACAACACAACTCTGCTGTGCCACAGAAAATGGCTGGAGACTGGCAACACAGCCCCTTAAACGCCAACCCCAGCAGCGACAGCTAATTAGCTGAAGGTCGACAAAACAGCCCTACTCAGTCGCGCAGTAAGTGTAGTCAAGATGGCAGCGAACTGACAACACGGTTTCAGCCACACCAGACGGCCAGTGATAATTTAGAGCCAACACAGCTCTGGTAGTTGTTCGGAAGTTCAAGATGGCGGCTGGCAACCAAATCGCTCCTCAGTGCCAAACAAATTGGCCGCCGCAATGGAGAAGGCACAAAAAAACGGCTTCACGGTGTGGGTAGACCGGGGCGAACTGAGAGAGCCGAGCCCCAACACCACGGGGCTTCCCTTACTCCCCCAACACTCAATTAACAATCGGGAATCCCCCAGCCCCGACAACACAGGGCTTTTCCCGATTCCTTAGGCACGAAGCCGACAGCACGGCTTCCCTCACGTGCCAACACTCACAGCAAAAAGAAACAGCATCCGCAAAGAGGATCAGACCAAATTCGGCGGCGGCAAGTCGCTGCTCAGCTGAGCAGCGCTCAGGTAAAGACAAGGTCCTTTGTGCAATCACAATGCCATTTAAAACAAGAAGGCAGCACTTAGCTAGAAAAAAAGTTGGAATACTGACAGCTAAATAGTCAAATTATAGAGTCCATTGAAGGAGCCAGGAAAAAATCAGTCAAGATGGCCGGACTGAGTTAATGAACTGGAGTCAAGCCTGAAGGGGAGGAGTGTTTATGCAAATTTTAACTCAGTCTTTGGCCTATGACATGAGGACAACCCATTCAATGGACTCTAAGCAGCGCAAGGGAGAACAAGATTTTTACAAGTAACATCTACTCAAGTTAGCACTGAATTCCAGAGTTAGTTAATTATATTGATTCATAAATTGAACGTGATTATTAAATCTTATATGCCTATTAACTTTGATGTGTCTTTTTTCCATTGACAATTTCCACTAACCAACATCAAAATCCATAAGCTTTTTTAATTTACAGCCCAGATGTAAAACAATAACCTATAGGCAACAAATGATATAAGGCATGTTCTTGCTTCTTTCATAAATTAATATTAACAAATCTGATAAATTACAAAGTAATAGGGTCCCATATGTCTACAAGTTTTCATCCTGAATATTTCAGAAGAAATTACACATAAATCTGACTTGAGTAAACAATATTACTTTCTGATTATGAATACTTAAAGTTGTTTAATATTTATATAATGTACAGGCCATTATCTCTGCTGCATCTCTGAACGGTCCACACACATAAACAAAAAAGTCAATTGCTAGATGATGGCAGGAATAAAAATATTTGAGATAAATTGCCCTAACAACCATTCTGCCTTGCTACTTTATTGACTGAAAACTAGAATGCATTATAGTCACCTATCTTCAAATGATTTAGACAGAGGGAAATTTCATATATAGCATCACGTTGCTAAAAGTATCAGAAAAGTAAATTTTGTCAAAAAATACAAAAACAATGAGAGAGACTCATTGAGTACCTCTGTATTTCATTACTGGATTCCCTGTACAGTATGTTTTTATCCCTATAATCTATAACAATACTATATCTACCTATGTATTTAAATAATTTCAGATTTTTGCTTTCTTTGCTGTTCTGGTGTGTTTTAAAAAATATTGTAGCCAAAGTGGTATGTACAGAAAAATGATGATAGAATATGAACAAGAATGACTTTTATAATGCGTAAGTTAGATTTTTTTAAAAAAAAACAGGGAAAATAGAAATCGGAAAGAGGCCTTTAACACAAAAATCGCACATTTCCCTCCCTCTTCTTGTGATTTACCCAGCTGAATTGAGACCAATTCAGCTGGGTAAATCACAAGAAGAGGGAGGGAAATACCTGGAGGATGAGCCAGGCTAGTCAGAGTGAACAACCAGGTTTTTGCTTAAAGCCTAGTTGCCAAGATGGAGAAAGTCTGACTAGCAGGAGGACGAAAAAGAGAGAACATTGTGGTCATCATCACCATCATCATCACTGTATTCTGCTCCTTCTTCTTGCAGGAGCTGGAGCTCCAGCAGCAGCCTGGCTGCCTGGAAAAAGCAAAAGCAGCTTCCTCCCTCCTCACAAGAGGATGGGAGAAATAAAGCCAAAATGGGGCATTCAGAGCAGGTGTACCATCTAAAAGGTGGGTTTTAGCTTTCATATCTCTTTTAACATTTTGGTTAAAGGGATCCCAAAGGAGCTTGGAGTTTTTCTGTGGTACCGGTTGATTCCATGGGGAAGTTGATCTTGCAAACCAAAAGCTGAAGAGAGTCTCTTTGGGGCCACAAAGTACCTAATGATCTCTTGCCTGGAGTTCCTTGTAAAAGGACTGAAGGTATCTGTGGAGGAGGGATTACTCTCATTCCATTTTTGTATCTAGTAGTCTTGGAATTTTGACTATCAGAGTGAAAATTCGGCCCTTCTGATGTCACTAAGTTACAGTAAGCAGTATCCCCCATTCACAATCAAATTGTGTGCAGATACTGGGACTTGCAATTCAGCGATCTCTGGAGGGTGACAGATTATAAATTAAAAACAATTTCCCCATCTTTAAACCCATGAAGACATAATTTATATTATAAATTATATTTATATTAACAGATGGAATCTTTTTCATTATTTTTGGGGCAACGACACTAAAAATTCCAAAGTTTCTTATTGAAGGATTATAGGTACTCCTCAGAGTTACAGCAGCACTGAAAAAAGTGATTTATGACCGTTTTTCATACTTATGACCCTTGCAGCATCATGGTGGTCATGTGATCAAAATTTGGACGTTTGGCAACTGGAATGTATTTATGATGGTTGCAGTATCACAGGGCCATGTGATCAACTTTTGTGACTTTCTGACGAGCAAAATCAACGGGGAAGCTAAATTCATTTAACAATCTTGTTACTAACTTAACAGCTGCAGTGATTCACTTAATAACTGTGGCAAGAAATGTGGTAAAAGGGGGGGAAACTCTTACTCTAACCCTTACTGACAAAGAAAACAGGTCAAGGTTATATCCATCAAGAATTCTTAAAAGAACTCACGTATGTAAATGCTATCTAATAGAATATAAAACATTTATCAGCTTGTACACTAGAGGAGACATTGTCAATACAATAAAATAGTTAACATTTATTCCAAATCAATTAGTAGAAATCATGTTAAAAATAGGTCAATGGAAGCAACATAAGCCAGATGTTGGGCGTTGGTCTTACCTGATGCACCCTTTCTGTGATAGGTGGGCACGGCAGTCATTCCTGGGGAGTGACACTGCCTTGCTCCAATGAGACCGAGTCTGCTGTAAAGTTCTTAAGTCCCGCCTCTTCCTGTGTAGTCCAGTTTTGAGATGAGGTAGATCAGCAGACTGTCGTGTCTGGAAAATTAGAACATACATGAGATTGCCACCCACCCCCATGCCCGGGAACAGCCCAACAGGAGGGGCTGACTGCCGTGCCCACCTATCACAGAAAGGGCATATCAGGTAAGACCAACGCCCATTCTCATGACGGTGGGCACAGCAGTCATGCCTGGGACATACCAAAGCCAATGTCCTATAGGGTGGGATCAGGCCGGACCTGGGAAGCAGTCTCCAGATGTACTCCTTGCAACATTCTCCTTCCAAATGCCACATCAGCCAAGGCGTAGGTATCCAACCAGTAATGCCGGATGAACGGAGCAGGAGAGGACCAGGTGGCCGCTCTGCAAACTTCCTCCAGGGGGGGGGCCTGGTGGACCAGGCCGCCGATATGGCCGCGCTCCTTGTGGAGTGTGCTGTAATATTCCGGGGAACCGGCAAGGCCTGGACTGAATACGCCATAGCTATGGTAGCCCTGATCCACCGGCCAATGGCCGAAGACAACTTGGCGCCCATGGAAGAGGGCTGGAAGGCGACAAATAGGGCTTCTGTGCGACGGAAAGAAGATGTGCAAGCAATGTATATCTTAAGGGCTCTGGAAACGTCTAGAGTGTGCCATGCCCGTTCCAGTCGGTGCTGAGGAGAAGGGCAGAAATTGGGAAGAACAAGTTCCTGTGATCTGTGAAAGACAGAGTTGATCTTGGGAATAAATGGCAGATCCAGACACAGGACCACCATGTCCGCATGAAAAATACACAGATCTTGTCGGACCGACAGGGCTGCTAACTCTGAGATTCTGCGGGCTAAGGTTATGGCCACCAGGAAAGAGACCTTGAAAGACAGAAATTTGAGGTCCACCTCCCGAAGAGGTTCAAAGGGGTGCCTATTGAGTGCAGACAGTACCTTGGGAAGATCCCAAGTAGGGAACCTGTGTGTGACTGGAGGTCTGAGGTTTGTAGCTCCATGCAAAAAACTGCGAATCAAAGGATCCTTAGACAGCGATACAGCCGATGAGTAAGACAGCACAGAAGAAATTGCTGATACCTGGCGTCGTAGAGTATTCGGAGAGAGACCTGAGGAGAAACTGTCTTGTAGGAAGCCAAGGATCTGAACAACTGATGCTGATGTGGGAACAATATTGCGTCGCCTACACCATTTGGAGAAAGCAGTCCAGGTGGCGTCGTAAATAGGAGTCGTAGATCCACATCGAGAGGCCTGAATGGTTGTGATGACATCCGGGGGAACTTGAGCCTCCGTCAAGAGGAACCGTTCAATATCCAGACGGCTAGCTGGAAGGACTGTGGATCTGGATGAACTAGCTGTCCTTGTAGCAGAGACACCTGACTGTCGGGAATCCGCCAGGGAGGGGCCACCGACAGGGACACTAGGTCTGCGAACCAAGGATGGCGAGGCCAATGGGGGGCCACCAGTAACAGTTCTGCTCCCTCCCTGATGAGTTTCCGGACTACCTTGGCTACCAGAAGGAACAGAGGAAAGGCGTAGAGAAGGATTCCCTTTGGCCATGGGCTGCGTAAGGCATCTACTGTTTCTGCTCCCTGAGCTGGGAAACGTGAAAAGAAACGGGGTAGTTGATGGTTGACTGCTGAGGCGAACAGGTCCACCTGAGGATGGCCGAACCTTCTGGAAAGCTCCTGGAATAGATGAGGGTGTAGGCTCCACTCTGCCAGGTCGATTGAATTGCGGCTGAGAGAGTCCGCTTGGATATTGGATACCCCTGAAATGTGTTCTGCTCTGAGAAAAATTAGGTGGGACTCAGCCCAGGTCCCCAGCCGAAGAGACTCCTGGAGGAGAGCTCGGGAACGGGTCCCTCCCTGCCTGTTTATGTGTGCTTTGGCAGTGATGTTGTCCATGAGGACTAGGACATCTCTGCCCTGGATCTGGGCCAGGAATCCCTGAAGAGCGAGAAAGATCGCCCTGAGTTCTAGGAGATTGATGTTGAGATCACATTCTGGAGGGGACCACCTGCCTTGAATCATGTGCGTCTCCAGATGAGCTCCCCAACCTACTAGGCTGGCGTCCGTCATTATGACTAACCGTTGTGGTTCCAGGAATAAGCAGCCCTTAGAAACATTCTCTGGTGTCCACCATTTGAGAGACTCGACGGCGTTGATGGTCAGATGTAGGATGGAGGTTGAGGGGCTGTTGAGGTTCCGCTGGTAGGGTAGAAGAAGCCACTGCAACTCCCTGCTGTGAAGACGAGACCAGGGTACAATACCATAACAGGACATCATCTTGCCTAGAAGGCTAGACAAGCTCAGTAGGGAAGCTGACCTGGAGTGAACAAACCTACGGGCCATATCACAGAGGCTATCTTGCTGATCCTGTGATAGGAAAACCTTAGCTGACACCGTATCGATTATAGACCCTAGGTGCTGAAGACGGGTAGAAGGAGTTAAGTGACTCTTCTTCCAGTTAATGGAAAAACCCATGAGTCCTTAGGATATCGAGAGATGTGGCCACATCCTGACGAGCCTGAAGCTAAAATCGGTAAAAAAGTAAAAAAGAATCCTGACCGGGATGGAGGAAATGTGAGAAATAAGGGCCACCATAATTTTTGTAAACACCCTAGGTGCTGAGGATAAACCAAATGGAAGGGCTTTGTACTGGTAATGTTTACCACTGTAACAGAACCTGAGAAATCTACGATGGGCAGGAAGAATAGGAATGTGTAAGTAAGCTTCCGTTAAATCAATAGAGGACATAAAATCTCCCTCTCTAATTGCTAATAGTGTGGAGAGATTGCATCTTGAACCGGCGGTAAATTATATACCGGTTCAAGGATTTTAAATCTAGAATAGCCCTCCAATCCCCTGAAGGTTTCTGCACTAGGAATAAACAGGAATAGAATCCCTGACCTCGCTGAAGGGAAGGAACGGGTTGGATGGACTTTTATTAACAAAAGGTGTTCAATGGCGGCCGTAACACGAGCACGTTTGGCTCTATCCAAGGACAAAGGACAGCTCAGAAAACAATTGGGGGGGGGTTGGAGCGGAACTCAAGAGCTAGGCCGAATCTAATAGTATCTTTAACCCAAGAATCTTAAACTGTGTTATCCCATATGTCAGCAAAAAAGGATAACCTGCCCCCAATCCTAGAATCAGGAGGAGAATTAACGGGCCCGGCGAAAAGGCCGGCCTCTGGATCCTCTGAATGGTCTCCTGGAGGAGAACCTGTACCCCTGTCTGACCTGAGAGTCCTGTTGTTGAGATCCTCGTGGATGAAATGACCGAGAGGAACGTTGTTGGTAGAAGCTGGAATTGTGGGCCCGAAAGGATCCCGAACGAAAGGAAGTCTGTGGGTGGATCTCCAACCTCCTAGAAATAGATGGTAAGATTTTACGATGGTCTTTAGTCTCCACCAGGAGGGGTTCTAGAGGAGCCCCAAACAACTTGTCACCCTGGAAAGGAGAAGAAGCTAGGCGCCATTTGGCTCTTTGATCTGCCTGCCAATTTTTGAGCCAGAGGAGACGCCTTGATGTAATAGAGGAACCGATAGCTTTAGCAGAAAAACGAGCTGCATTGAGGGTGGCATCTGCAGAGAATTCCACCGCTGCTAAAATTTTGTTTAAGTCCTGGTGAGACCTATGATCAGTGGCTGGAATTCTCTCCTGGAGTTGTTTCAGCCACAGGATGGTAGCGCAGTTGAAGAAAGAGGCCGCAGAGGAAGCTTGTACCGACCAGGAAGAAGCCTGATGTCCTTTTATGAGACTTCGCCCCGCTCTTTTGTCCTCCGGCCGTAAGACCTCTTCAGCTGGGCCTGAAACTGGAGACAATGAGGACAAAGCTACTACAGGAGAATCCACAGAAGGAACCTGCAATATATTTGAAAAGTCAGTTGCCAAGTTATAGAAACGTTTGTCCAGTGAATTAGGAAGAGGACCTGTACTTGGGAAATTCCATTGTCTCTGAACTATGTCTGAAAACAGCTTGGGAGCAGGAACAACTTCAGCTTGGACAGTGGGTTCCCGAAACACAGATGTTATTGGATCAGAGGACAAAGAAGAGGAACCAGAACTGGAACTGGGAACACCCATACGTGTAGTGGTTTGAGCTTTGAATAACAAGGATCTAAACATCTGAGGTTTGAATAGGCCCACAAATGCCGGTTGGTCTTGTTCTAGACCCTCATCCTCAGACAGTTCCTGATCTGGGATGATCTCACCCTCAGATAGTGAATCCTGACTATCCGATTGAGGAGAGTCATGAACCTCATGACTCCTGATGCCTATGAGAATGGCCCTGATAGCTTTGCATCTCTGAAGCCTCAGAAGGAGCCCGCTGATGAAGTCCTTCAGCAATACCCTGGCGGATTGCCATAGAAATGAGGCAGGCTAGAGCAGGAGAAATTTCTGGAACATCTTGGGCAGGAGAAGAATGACCCCCCCCCCCCCAGTTTCAGAATCTGACTGAGCAGGTGCAGTCAGAGCAACCTCTTGAGTTTCAGCCTGATTATTGCTGGGCTCTGCTGTGGACACTGGAAAAACAATGGAAGCATCAACCAAATTAGTATCACCTTGCAATGATCTATCTGGAGATAGAGAACGAGTATGAGATGGGTGTGATCTAGTAGCCTGAACATCTGAGGAAGGAGCGATTACAGAGAGAGAGGAAGGCTGGGATGGGCCTGGGGCTTTGTTCCTATCAGCTTGAGCCTTTTTGAAAGCCCTTTCCATGGCTCTGTGGCGTCTTTCCTCATCTTTAGAGGATTTAGTTCCTTTTGAAGCAGATGATCGAGCTATTTTAGCAGAAGGGGGTGTGTGGGAAGAGCAGCCCTCCCCTGGGTCAGGCCCATGCTGTTGTTTTCTTTTAGATGACTTGCAAGAAGCCTTAGAATGAATAGCGTTGGCCATTTTGGATTTCCAAATTAAGTTTTCAGAAACTTTTAAAAGGCACACAAGCCTCCCACAGCACAAATCAGAGAAAACAGTCACCAATTAACCAATTACAGGAGCCAATTTGACAGAAAACTTCCCAAATACTTGCTGTTGTGTCCGTTTTGAGATCACTGAGATCACTAGCCGTCCGGCTTGGCACGACAAACACAGGCGCGGCAAGAACTTCGCTCCAATCAGCTGTAGAGCCGAAGCTCACAGCCCTTAGTAATCTTCCAGAATTGCCAAAAAAACGGCTCCACAAAGCTCAAAATGATTTTTGTGGGCTCAGAAATGCCGCAGAGCAAGCTCGTGGGCGGAAGAGAAAAAAATTTCTAAATGGTTCTGCCAGCCGGCAGACCGAAGCCGCTCCAGCGGCTCAGAGCGGGATCTGGCAAAAGCGTTTTTCGCTCCAGTTATATTCAATTAGAAATAACCAAGAATAAAATAAAATAAAATAAAAAAGCAGAGTAAATAACTCTAATTAGTAGAGAAAATACAGACACGACTGTCGCAGAGAAGACCGAGTCGAAAAACTGGACTACACAGGAAGAGGCGGGACTTAAGAACTTTACAGAAGACTCAGTCTCATTGGAGCAAGGCAGTGTCACTCCCCAGGCATGACTGCCGTGCCCACCGTCATGAGAAAATAAAAGGACGAGCCATGGTGGCGCAGTGGTTAGAGTGCGGTACTGCAGGCTAATTCTACTGACTGCCGGCTGAGTGCAATTTGGCAGTTCAAATCTCACCAGGTTTAAGGTTGACTCAGCCTTCTATCCTTCCGAGGTGGGTAAAATGAGGACCCAAATTGCTGGGGGCAATATGCTGACTCTGTAAACCGCTTAGAGAGGACTGTAAAGCATTGTAAAGCGGAATATACGTGCTATTGCTATTGCTATTGTTATTCATGGAAAAATGAGTCCAAAGGCTGAGGGCTTTCTCCATATTAACACTGATTGGGACAGGCCTTGGAGAAAGAAACTGAACCTGAAACTGAAGTATTTACTCTAGTAAAAGCAATTGAATCTAAGTTCCAAAGACTTTCTATCCGGAGCAACATCTAACAGTATACCCAACTTTGTTCATAGAAAGATTGTCTGAGTTTATCTTCTTTACCTTCTATTTTCTATCTATCAGAGGAGTTATAGATTTTTCTTATGGATTATGGACAGCATGAATTATGCAACCAAAAAATTGCTTCTTTGTTTCATCCTGAAATAAACTTCGGGAGAGTTTTGGTACAACTTGCTGTGCACTTGTGTGTGTGTGTGTGTGTGTGTTGCAGGTAGTCCTTGATTAACAACTGGTTACTTAGCAACTGTTCAAGGTTATGGCAGACATCCCCACCCCAAGTTATTTGACCTGGTCCTGAAGTTACAGCCACTGCAGCACCCCCACTATCATTCGCCCTTATAACCAATCACAAAGACACTGCAGCACCCCCCACTTATCTCCCTCCATCTACCCCCCATATCCTTACAAGCTTTGAGCCTTCTTCCCACTCCACCTGCCCCACATTGTCCTCTTTACTTACCTTTCAAAGATCTCCAAAGCTCCAGATTTTGGATTAAGGAAGCAAAATGGATCACTTTGTTGCATGGCTGCCCAACACAGTGTTGGGACATTTTCTGAGCAGCTGCACCAAATTGTGGTTGCTTAGAAAATGGCCACTTCCAGAATCGCACGATGTGATCATGTGATAAAGCAATCTGTTCTGCTTTCCTAATTCAATCTGAGAAATTCTGTGGAAAGCTCCTGAGTTTTGAAAATATTCAAAAGTTTAGGGCCCAATGGGTAACGGGGGGGGGGGGGCAGTTGCAGGGATTCTGAGGGGGCAGCAGACCTAAGGGCTGTAGGGATCCCAAGGGGTAAGAAGCGAAGTACAGGGTGTCTCAAGAGGCGGGCGGGGCTTTGGGAGGCTCAGGGCAAGTGGGCCTGGACCAATGCTAGGCCTCCCAGGGCCTCCCCCACCCCTGATGCACCTCATGCTCCTCATATCAACCTGCAAGGTCATTTAATGACTGCATCAGAGAGAACAGGGGGTGAGGGTTATTAAGCAAGACTGTCTCACTTAATTACCTCATCAGTTGAAATGAGCAGACTCCATTATGGTTGTAAGTCGAGGACTATCTGTAACTAAAATAATGTACCAATAAGTTGTTATTAGGCTGAGCCACAAATCATTTCTGCTATTTGGAAGAATCTTCAGAGAGGCTATAGACAGGATGATAATTCAGGTTCAGGTCACACAAAGTAAGTCCAATGAATACTCAGAACAAGTTTTTCACGCTATATATAGATGTATAGAGATCTGATTTACATACAGAGTAAGCATTCCAATGGTACCTCAAATACTGGCTATTTAAAATTTAATGTCTGTCCTCAAGCCCTGTGAGTTCCTTCCTTCTGCTACTATTCTTTTGCTTTGGTTAAAGCATAATGCACAATGAAGATTCAATGAAATTTCAAAAACTTTCATGCTATTATGGAATTATGTTCCGATTGACCTAAAATATGAAGGTTAAAATCTATGCAATTCAAAAAGTTTCTCAATCTACTACCTGTTCGATAATCATTAACTGATTACTAAGGATACTTACTTGCTACTGAAAAGTTGTTAAGAGGATATGGTAGATCCACATCTTGCGGCTTCTCCTTATATCCTATGAAGGAGCCATCTGTCTTCAATAAGAAGTATCTTGGCCTCCAATTTTTTATGTATTCCCCTATATAAAAAAATATTATTAATATAAATGATATCTGAACTTCTGCCTGAAATAGAATGGTCAACCAACCAGAAAAATGATAATTTCATTCTCTATTTAACTTCAGTTCAGATAAAACAAATAGACTGAGTGGAGTTGCTTAATTTTTTGTATTTTTAATGAAACATGAACCCTAAACATGATTTACAAATAAAACTAATTTCATGCAAATTGTATCCTAATGAAAGTGTGTGTGTGTTTGTGTGTGTGTGTGTGTGTGTGTGTGTGTGTGTGTGTGTGTGTGTGTTTAGTAAGTGTATATTCATAAAATATCAGGCGGGCTGCAAAGCAGCTGTTTTAAGCCATCAAGAGACTGCAACTGTTTTATGTGTTCATATCTTAAATCCTGAAAGGCATACTGCCTGCTTCAAAATTCCTATTATTTCCACATTTTGTTGACATATGTAACTGTTGCAAATTCATTTATGCATCTATTACCATTGTAAAACCTAAAAAACATTAGGCCATTGCGTTCTATTCTTATCCACTGTTCTTGCAGTGGTATTCATATAAATATGTACAGAGTTTACAGATATTGGTGTGTAAGAAATTTATTTACCAATAAATTTATTTACCAAATTTATTTACCAATTTATACTGAAATACAGAAAAACAAGCAACCAGCCTTAGCTAATCTTGAAAAAACTAAGTATGATTAGGCCTGACCACAATCCACATTCCAAAGTTTTAGCCTAGGCTGAAATTTTTCTTTAAAATCTCTCAATGGTTATAGCAAATTATTTCAAAAATACATTTTATAAGTATTATATTAATAATTATTAAATATTAAAAATAATACGTTATTATAGTATTTTATAATAGTAAGTTATTTCCATCAAGCTGCCAAAAAGATTTTATCGATGAGCTTCGTAGTTGAACTAGATCTAAAACAGTTTGTTTGTCTGGGGGTTGGTTTTGGGAGGGTGGGGAGAAATAAAAATGAGCTGAAACTTGCGCAAGTTTTTCTTTATACCCAGACAACAACAACAAAATATACCAAAACTCTTTCCTTGTTTCCTCCAAACTTTATTTACAAATCACAAAAAACACAAATTCACAATCCAGGAGACTATTCACTGATAGGGGTGGTATCACTGGAAGGATCTAGCTGAATGTTGAATGTGACTGTGTGTTTACTGTGTATGTGCGTGCCCAACTTTTCTGAAGACTAAGAATACTTATAGAACTTTGAAAAAAAGTATCCCAGAAACAATTACAATCTGATATTTCTTATGTAGATATGTGTACATGTGATTTTTATGTTTGAATGCTTCTTCTTTTTCCTTCTCCATTTCTTTTCATCTGTTTCATCTCCCACTGCTCATTTGTGAAAGATTTTTCATTCCCTTCACTCCTATTCAATATGGCTTTTTTTAAAAAAAAAAAAAAAAGGAAAAATGGAAATGTTGACATTGCTTTGCCACCTACAGCTTTAGATGACAAGTATTCAACATATATTGTTCAAACATGTATGCTTGATTAAACTCACTTAATCAAGGGCACATAGCAACAATTAGGGCTGTGTAGGGATCTGGAGGCAAAGGGAAAAATGTGATTATACACACAAACACAAATAACCACACATACACAAACTAATCTAAATTGGATTTATCAAACAGGATTTTAACATCTCTAAGTTTCAAATTCTATCCATGTTTTTGTTCTAAAAAGTTAATGTTCCAACTGAAGACTTTCAGTTACAAATTCATATAGGGAGGAACTACGAAACCACAATTGGAACCTGCAAGTTGGTCATTAAAAAAATGGTTGCTAATTGAAGCAGTGACTTTATTTCAGCTTTCCTTTGCTTTATAACCTGTGAAGGATATAAAAGCAAGAATTGGTCATAAAGTTACCTTTTTTATCCTTACCGTAACTGCAGTTGCTAAATTGCTAAAGTTGCTAAAGCTGCTAAACAGGGATTGTCTATAAATGAATCGGCACAAAATGACAGCATGTTCTTATAGGTTGATAGTATTGATAGTATATAGTATAATCAGTCATTTATGATTATCATCTATTTAAATTTCTAATCCACAGATATTAATTTCAGGAAATAAAGTTATTGATCAATATGTATTAAGAATCTATATAATTTGCATAAAAACCCTTCCCCACCACTTTTTTAAAAACTTCCTCTAAAAAATATCCTCAGAAGTACATAGTACATACAAACAGAAATGACAAAAGAAGAGAAATATTATGGAATATCAGGAAATATTCATAATAAAGAGAAGTAAATAAATCAAAACAAATGAGAATTGAATCACTCGTATCAGTTCAGCTAAAATTATTCTTTAACTGAAAGACTACAACTGTATTATAAATATTTAATTTTGGTAATTAACTTAAATACATTTATATCAATTCATAAATACAAATAACTGTATAAACGAAGTGTAATAATTATAAGAAATATGAAAGTAAATTTCCCCCAAAGACAAATACAAAGAAGAATACACCATATTGAAATGCAAAATGAATACATCATGAATGAAATCATCATCTGAAACATTAGTAGTAGTTCTGCTTTAGACAATTATTTTCTTCCTGCTGTGTTAAATATAAAGTAAACATACCCTGTCATTCTTTTTCTTACAACTAAAGAACTCTAATTCTGTAAATGCACTGGAGAAAATTACTTAATTCAAATAAATTCTTCTGGTCAAAGAATTTGAAGTTATTATAGAAAAATAATATCAAATAAAATTTGCCAATTAATTTAGGTATAGCAGAGAAAACTGTTACAATTTATTACTCTTATAAATAAAAGAAGTAATTGTATTGGGAAATTATTACAGAGAATGGATTTAGGCAATATGTAAGTCAATCAAAATATGTAAACTAATATATTTACTTCTGTCACTGGACATAACAAATTCTAAAGAGCCAAAAAAACCAAAACAAATGATAAACCATCACAAGACTAGATAGCATTTCTTAACAATTTTGTTCCAATGCACATTTAGATATACTTATAGTAAAACTGATAAATAGGACGAGTGCAAAGTCCATACAATCAAGTAAAAACAAGGTGAAGGCTTTCAATGTGCTAGTTCGTGGTACAATGAAAGAGAAATATTATTATTATATAGGATTTTGTTGTTATCCAACAAAAATGACATTGTATTTCTGAGATCTACACATGTATAGTATCATCAGTGTTTGCATAAAATTTTTATTTGGCCCATTTAAAATTACAGTAGAAAATTACATTATTAAAAAAATATTTCTCTACTTCCAGGCAAATTTCAGGTCAGGGTCAATTACAATTTTTACTTTTTCAGAAACAAGTGCCTGAAACACTGAACAATTGATCAGTGTCATGGTCACCAAATGTCAGACACCACCATTAATTTGTCCAAGGGATGGGGAAAATAGCTGGGGAATTGAACCACTGAGTAAAAGATACTTGCACCTTTGTACTACCAATGGTAAATCACCTGTTTTCTTTGGCATCATTCTTGTTTGCAATAATGGTTCATAATTAACACTGCTTGTAAGACTTCTGCCAAGTCCTAATGTAAAAACCAGGAGGTCTGTGATTTCCTATAGAGTCCTAGGTCATGAAAGGCAGACAACTGGAGGCTGAATGGAATTCAGCAGGATCCCACAGCTTAATTGCCATAAGGTCATTACCATAATGCACTGTTATCTTGTAGTCCAATCTGCATGTAAATTCAGAATTGCAATAAAATTATTCCCAAATGTCAGCTCAAAGCTGATATAAGATACTGTGATCAATGGTACCAGAAGTGATACCAGAATGGTACAGAAAGATCAAAGAAATCAAGGAGAATGAACAGAACCAAAATTGTACCAGATGGGTCACTGGGACAATTTTTGGAATTAAATCAGTTATGGTAGTCATCTTGGGCTAAAAATCAGCATTTTTATCACTATCAATAAATGCCAAAATAACTGTAAATTCCATTGAAGCAGCCACAAGTTTCTTAAATATCATTCCCTCAGGAATAATGGCTTCCAGATTTTGGTCACATTCTGTAGGATAGCCCATTTGAAATAGCTTGCTTCAAAAACTGTCCTATTATGGACTGTTTTGCCCTGTTAAAGGTCATCACAATGAGTTTTAGTAGTATCCAGATATAATTATTTAATATTAAACAATTATAGGTGAAACCAGTTTGGTTTAGTGGTTAAGGAACCAGGCTAGAACCAAAGAGATCATAAGTTCTAGTCCTGCCTTAGCCAGCTGGGTGACCTTGAGACAGTCATTTTCTATCAGCCCTAGAAAGGAGGCAGTGGCAAACCACTTCTGAAAAAAAGCTTGCCAAAGAAACCCTGCCAGGGACTTGTTCAAGCAATCTCTGAGAATTGACACAATTGAATGAAATTACAGCTGAGTTTACAAACTATCCTCAATCAGAAAAATAAATCAGTATATTTTTAGCAAAATGTGTGAACTAAGTCTGTGATATTTTTTCTCAGAAAACATACACAATATTGTACTATTATATGCATAGAATAGTTTACATATTAATAGCACTGGCAAGATCTTTAGTAGGACCAATCAAACTGACCAAAATGAACATACAAGCTTCTGGGTTCTCTAGACTATAACATTACTCAATAAAATGTATATATGTTTTTCATATCTATTTATTTTTACTTATTTATTTATTCAATTTCTATAGCCACTCAACTCAACCAAGTAACTCTGGGCAGCTTACAATTCCAAAATTCTAAAAATTCTAAAAATTAAAAAAATTAAAACAATAAGATTAACCACAAAATAAATAAGTACAAACAGCAGCTGTGATGATTAATAAACAAACAGTAAAGCCAAATAATGGGGCTCTTAACATATTCCAAGCCAACACAGGTGGAGACATTCTAATCTATGAGGGAAGAATATTCCATAAGGCAAGGGCTACAGTAGAAAAAGCCCATCTTCTAGTTCCTGACAGTCAATCCTTTTTGATTCTAGTCATTCCTTTTTC